GTTCATTCCAATATTCAGTGTAATTTTTGGATTTTTATTTAATTTATTATCAATTTTATAAGTTAAATCCTAAAAAAATAATATTAAATCGTATGGGGCGACACATGGCGGAAGCTGAATGGGACGCATTCAATGTGTCTGATGGCTGTCCTCCTGTCATTGTGCCCACGTGTCAGTTTGTGATACTTTTATCAAATTTATGTTTAAAAATTCATAAAAAATAATTAAAAATCAGAAAAAAAACACCAAAAATTGATACAAACTTCTTATGACATTGTCTTTAACTATGGAGTCTAAAATCATGTTTCCACATATTTATGTTCATGGTAATCATCGAATCAAAGAACATGAGTGTTATGTTATAGAACATAATTTAGTGTTTTGGTTTGTTTTGAAACAAAGTTGAGTTTTTGTTATCATTTTCAAATTTTATGAGTCAAAATTATATTTTTGGAGTTTTAAGGCTTAGATAATGTGACAATGAGTTCATTCCAATATTCAGTGTAATTTTTGGATTTGTATTTAATTTATTATCAATTTTATAAGTTAAATCCTAGAAAAATAATATTAAATCGTATGGGGCAACACATGACAGAAGCTGAATGGAGCGCAGTCAGTGCGTCTGATGGCTGTCCTCTTGTCATTGCGCCACGTGTCAGTTTTATACTTTTATCAAATTTATGTTTAAAAATTCATAAAAAAGTTAATTAAAAAATCAGAAAAATACACCGAAAATTACTACAAAGTCTTTATAACATTATCTTCGATTATAAAGGTGTAAAATCGTGATTCTATATATTTGAGTTCATGTTCAACGTTAAATCAAAGAATATCCAACGGGCATTCACCTAAAGGAATTGGGGTTCGCATACCCTGTTGACAGCTTGCGTCAAGGTGCCATTTTTTAATTGGGTACCAAAGTTCTCCTGGTTCCACCTCCTAATAGTGATAACCTGTTGACAACGATAATAGGTCTACACATCGTTGTCGTGGCAGGGCTAATTGCATGTTGTATTGATCCAGGCTGCATTAGAGGTTTAGACTATTGACGATACAGATGGGGCCTGAAGCTTGCCCCGCTGGTTTCACTATGAGAAATAACAAAGAAGAGGCTCTAGAAATCGGAGGAACACGAAGTTCCTCATTGTAGCACAAGTTCTCCTTAATCAAGCTTGGATTAGGAAGCCATTAACACCCTCTATTATGTCCAAGATGCCCACATCTGAAGTAAAAGTCCTTCAACCTCTCATATCTCAACCTTATTCTCCTCTTCCCCATGGTAAGACAAGACATAATAAATCTTGAAGGAAGGAGTTTTGTGGTATCCAAGTCAGTTTTTCAATATCTTCCACCTTTAGCACTGAACCCACTCTAGCACCCAACATTCTTGCATTTTTTGTGGTGCATATGTTCCTTGGAATGCCATGGGCTTGAACCCAGTAGATGGCACGATCAGTAACAATATCGTCTAGAGAACAATATAATGGCCAATGCTTAACACTGAAAGAGAAGCCCTTAACAAACCAAGGGTTGTCATCAAGGAGTTGACGGGCCACAACTTCCTCCCCCACTGTAATAGCATAGACATTCTCATTTGCTTTAGTGACTTTAACTGCTCTTATGTTATTCCATACAAAATGCAAGACTTCCTTGATAACAGTTTGAGGTGGTTCATGTTGAGCAATTAGAAGTCCCACCGTAGTAGTTCTATGGTCAGGTCGCTAATCTAGATCTAGACTATCCTCATATGGATAGTATTCCATCCCCGTCTGGAAACATAGCCATCAGGATCTGATAACAAAACACAAGACTAGAGGGACCAATATACCTCACACACTTTTGAGAAAAACTCATTATCGCCTAGACTAGGACTCTCAAGCCAGAAACGGCTCACATCAAGCTACTAAGGGCCAGACTACTCTTTAAAAACAAAGGTACGCTATAGTCGAGTGCAAATTTTTGAAAAAAACCATATCAGTAATTTGAGTGATAATATATCGATCATGATAAGTAAAATACCACAAGTTTGATTATAAGCAGGTACAGTCGAAGTCATAGAGACTAGTTTCCACAAAACAACGGGTTTCAGGGCAGCATGGCCTTGAAGCTAACTCTAAGTACCAACAAACCAGATTTGTATCAACAAGCATCTTGGAATTATATATGTTAGCCAGAAAGAATCCCAGCATGGTTTGACAAAATACACCAGCCAGTTGGACGTAGAGAACTCAAACATGAAAAGCTCAATTTCGTCATATAAAGACTAGGAAAGAAACAAGTATGTGACAAAAACCATTATAAGAGAGAGTATAAATTCTGTAACAAAGCAAAATGAACTAAACTGCCAAAGAGAGAACCAAAACCCCAAATTAAGGAGATATAAATCGCAATTACTAGTGTGATATATTAAATTTTGATGCCATGATATTCGTATGGAAAATAAGAAAAGCTTTTTCGGTCAATACATTCATATTCCACTCATCAGCACCCAAAAAGGAATACAAATCGTGGCTAGGTGTCACAAATCCAATTACCAAAACTAACCCACTTCACAGGGCCGTCCTTGAGATTTTGAGGGTCCTGTGCGAAACTTAAATACAAATTTTCCATAACTTAATGTCATAAACAATTTTTTTATAACTAAAAGTCTCCATCAATAAACATGTAATGACAATCAAATATCAAATTCATAAAAATTTAAATGTTTCCATTTGATAAAGTTAAATTTTAGTATGTTTGGTACAAAAATAAGCTCCTTATGCCCCTATAAGGCCCCTTTCCACCTCCTATAAGCTATTTGTGTTTAATAGGAAAAAAAAAAATTGGCAATCACAAAATAAAGAGTACCTGTTCAACAACTTCATTGTGATTATCAATATCAACATTTTCATTGTCATCATTCTCATTCTTCTCAGCATTACCAACACATTCATCCACATATTTTTTCAATATCTTGCAATTCCTCAACATCATCTTCTTCTTGTTTATTGGAAATATTTTCATCAATTGTAGCATGTGATTCTTTAACAATGAATCTATCAAGATTCAAGAGTTCCTCTTTGAGATTGAGTCAATTCCTCGATTTTTCTTTTTCTAATTCGTTTCGTATATCCAAAAATGTATTTTCTAGTAGGTGGCATGTTTAGATTACAAAGAAAAATTCTAAAACCCTCTAACCTGGAAGAAAACCCTAGCAAGAAATAGATAAATATTTCTAAAAACCATATTCTCATATAACCAATCATCATCATGATAATAATTTAATAAAATAAGTCATGTAATAGATAGATTGAAATTTAGATATATACCTAAATTTGAAATGAGATTTGAATCTGATTATTTGATTTTGAGTGGACTTTATGAATTTAGGAATCAGGGTTTTCACTTTTCGGTGTTAAAATTCTTGAAATTGAAAGAATAACAAAAATTGTCAAAGAATTGATGATGATAATTACTTACTAGAAAATCAGAGTTTAAGGGAAAGAAGAAACCATGAAGTTTTTTTTTTGGTTTTGAACGAAGAAAGTACTTTTCTTAGAGGGGAAAACCTTTTTTTTTAGTTTTTTAAATGAATAGATTGGCTTTAATGAGAATCGAACTCATGCACCTCAATTAAGTGGAGATGCGTTGGAAAGCCAACGCCACCACAAACACTTTTGTGCAAATATTTAGCAAGTTATAGTATTAATATATAGAAAAATTCATATAGTATATATACACTCCCTTTTGTGCAAATATTTCAGGACTCATGCGCCTCTCTTCTTTCCATTCATCTTTCCTTGGTGGTTGATATATAGAAAAATTCATCTACCACTAATTGAACCTCTAGAGATAAAGGTAGGAGGTATGGAGCAAGGTCTTGCTTACTTTAGCTGTGCAGCCGAAATACCATAAGAAACATAGGAACAAGAAGTAACGACGATCGTTTATCCAAGGGTGATTTTATTGTAACTCCATAGTCTTCTCTTTTGACCCCACACTAATTTTAAACATGAACAACCTATTTTACCCTTGTATATAATTATTGTAAGGACAAAAAATATTTAAATTAAAATTAAATTTACTCACTACACCCCACATACGTTCCTTCAACCCTAGTCAGACTTATTTCTCAAACCATCCTATTTCTACAATCCTAACAAGGTTTATATGCTTATATTGGCGAAAATAGGGGTGGGCATTCAAACCGGCAAACCGGAAATCCGAGCCGAACCGCACAAATAAAAAAAGAAAAAAAATCGAGTTGACCAAAAAATCAACAACTTGTCAAAAACCAAACCGGACCGGTTTGGACCGGTTTTGGATTTCTATGTCTTCAAAAACCGAACCAGTCAAATTAAAAAATATATAAATTTTAATATTTATTTATATTCAATACTATATTTTTAATCTCATAACTAATATTTATCCAAGTTCAATTTCAAAACATCTCTCTTTTCTAGCTTTAATATTTATTTTAATATGAAATTAAATAATTTATTAATTTTCAAGTCAAAAAAATAAAATTAATAAATTAAACTTAGGCCATGTGAAATATGAGATTGCAACATGTATTTCCCTTTTTTTTTTGTTTCCTCTGATTCATTTACAATTAAACTTAGGCCATGTGAAATAGTTTTAAACCAAAAAGTGCTAATTAATAGTTTTAAACCAAAATTAAACTAAACTAAATACAACTTAGGTTATGTGTTCGAATCCCTCACCATATCACAATAGGTTTTAGTTTCAGGGTCTGGAAAGTATACATGTTGGTGTCCAAGTAATGTGCTGAATAAATTAAATGAGGAGTATATTTCGAAGTTTTAAAATCAAGTTTGGGTGTCCAAAGAATATTGAAATAATAATATAGGTGTCCAGAAAAACGACACTATAACATTTTAGGAGCGAAGGTGGGTGTACGGCCCATTAGACTGGACCAAAGCCCAATAAATTCGTTGGCCAAATTCCATTAGCCTTTAGACGACGGTCAATTTCTGCCGGCAACATCTTTTCCCCAATCTAACTAACGGTTATGTAGAAAACCCTAATCACTCAAAAATTTCAAAAATCCTTCCATCACCTAATCGCTCAGTTAAATTGGTGACGATTAGTGGGAGTTCGAAGCTTTGATTTTTCTTCGCTCCATTTTTCCTTGCCTGCATTTTCTTGTTCTGGTACTTTCGAATTTTAAATATTTATAAATCCTGATTTGTGTAAATTGCCTATTGCTAGGTAATTGTTCAACCCAGAAGATCTGATAGAAAGACCCAATTGAAGCCCTAGCTTTTCTGGTGGAAGGCAATTGACACCAAGGTCGAATTTGCAGTCAACAATTGCAGGTTAGTCTCTTTTCCTAAAGGTGAAATGGCACTTTTATGTGTTCTGTATTTATATCATATCAATAAAGCCCCTTTATTTCTCGCCAAAAAAAGAAAAGAAAAAAAGAAAAAGAAATTAGGGTAGTTCATAGGGTTTTTCAAGTGAATTCAGTGTTGATTTTGAGACATTACAACTTACAAGTTCTAAGCTTTTCCTTATAAATTTTGCACTAGGTAATCTTATTGCATTTTGTGAGCACATCCTGTCTGCCTCGGTCAAGAATTTACAAATTTTCATTGAATAAAGTTGCAATAGTTCTCTAGTGTACTCTGAGTTCTTCTTTCTGCAGATTGTTTCTTTTTTTGCTTATAGTTCCTTTATGAACAATTGCCCTGAATGAAACTGTAGGTGATCAGTCAATTGAATAAAATGTGCATTGCACGTTTAATTGATGACTATGTCTATGGCTCCATTAACTTCATGTTGGATATTGTGAAAAATATGGCATGCATGCATTGGATCAGCATTTGAGTTAGTTGTAGACTGGTAGTTGATTTTATCCTTTCTTTTTGATTGATGTGAACCATCAAATTGTTAGGGAAAGGGCTAATTTTCCAAACCAATAACCAACCATTCGACTATAATGATTGGCATTCATTTGAGATCCAATTCTGTATATTTAATGACATAGTTGTCTGGATAGTGTGAGGGTTTTGCCTAACATTTAGCCTGCTTGAAATGATTAATCTGACCATACCTGATCATGCTGAGTTTAGGAATATCTGGCATGACTAATCTCTCCATTTTGATTTTTTTTAGTTTAAACGTATTCTAGTTGAAAAGTTGACAACAATTCCAGAATTAGTTAGTCCATATCCCAATGACTCTACCTTGATGAAAGGGATTTTCTGAAAAGACTTGCTTCTCTGATAGAACTGAATACTATGGTGGCTGGTTGATATAGGCTTCGCATAAAATTCTAACGTGCAATTTTAACTGGAGATAAATGATAACAATTTCTAAGTTGTTGAGTAAACAATCACTTTGGTTTGATCTGTAAGTGGACTGGATAATGGTTTAATATTGCAGAGAGTAACAATGATCCACGGGCAAAAGTTTTTGCTCACCTAATCTCCAGTTTCAGCACTCATGAATCTAAATTTATTTAGGAGTCTAATTACTAAGAAGGGACAAATTGTGGTGGAGGATCTATTTTTGTTTTTGGAATCACATATTGCCTCAGTGTTATACTCGGGCGTTCATTAATGAATTACATAGAATTGTTCAGAGACTCATCAAATCTATTCTGAAGTACATACTCCACAAAATGTCCATAGCATTTATTTCATTTCTGTTTAATCTATTCAGTTTTGCTTGGCGCTACTAGGTGGTAGCTTTTCACCTGACTTCCAAGACCACCATCTCATCTACTCTTCAATAGCTAACTGCCACTCAAGGGCTGGATAGGAAGTCTGCTTTCTCTGCAGGATCGTATGAGCTTCATGCTAGTTGTGCCAAGATTGAGTGGCGTGGCATCCTTATTTGACCCAATTTTCAATGAGACCACATCCCAAGGTGGATGGTCTTTTTACGTGTCATGGAGTGTCTGCCGCCATGCGAATTGCGTGTCGTGTTAGTTTTTATTTTTTATTTTTTATTACGAGGGTAGGGGAGATTCAAATTGGAACCTCTTCCAACATTGAGAAGAGAAATACGAACAAACCAAGTGCTACTCGGTGCATGAGTTTGCTTGGTGATCTGAAATTTATGACTAAATGCCATGTTATTAGTCTTAGGTGACTTAAATTACTATATTGGAAGATGTTCATGGATGTTCTGAGCAAGTTCTTTCTGATGAATGATAGTCTTGAACCTAAGAATTGTTGGACCATAGAATTCCATATGATGGCGAGGTAGGCGATTTAGCTGTATTTCTTTGATTTTACTAGAATATATTACCGTTTTTCCAAGGTGGCTCATATCCGGTTTAACAACATGTGGTGATTGTTTAATGAAATTCAACCTGATTTGGAACATGTTTATAGTGTAAAATATCTACTGGCTGCCATCTTTGATATATTATCTTTTTTATGTAGACTAATCTCTATGATTCTTCTCTTCTTGTAGTGACATATGCAATTGTATGATCAAAACAAGCATCTTTTAGTCTTTGAGTTTTCGTAAAGTGAATGAGATAATGATATTTATGCAGGAAATGGAATAACTAATCTCTGTTGTAATTCTTATAATAAATGATGAGATGTTTATACAAGGAACAAGTAAACCAAAGTTGAAGGAAACAGTGATTTGGAACAGGACATAACATTGTTAATACTTTCTCTAAGCAAGTTTAATATTCTTCTTTGACAACCTTTTCTTGTTTGTATGGCTTTCCCTCTTTTCTTTTGAATCTTTGTGTGGACTGCATCATTTCAGGTCTTCCCCCACCTCAATTTTATCAAAGCTTCTTCATCTTTGGCTTGCTTTTCCCTATTTTTTTTTTAAAAAAAAAAAGAAAAAAAAATTGTGATTATGTGTTGTGAGTGACACCAAAACTTGTTTCACAAGAAAGCCAAAATTACTTCAAATCAAAGGTAAAGCAAAGCAAAGCAAAGCCAAAGATGCCACTTTCTTGTGGGTTTTTTTGGTTTCTTCCTTTTATTTGCTTTCCTCAATGGATCTTAAAAAGGACAAGGCAGTGCAGGATGAAAGAGAGAGGGATAAAGTGGTGAGAGAAATTCCAAAAGGAACCTCAGGCCAATAAATACAATTTTTTTATTATTTGTTTTTATAAGAATCATGTGATTGCTACAAACTATCTACCGTTCCAAACTACCAATATTCAGAGGAGAATTGTGAGGACACGAAGGACATTATATAATTTGACGATTTGAATTGCAGATGAGCTTAATCATAACCCATATGGCACCAAAACTATAATTATGGATTGTGATGGCTCATAATGGTGCTGGTGACTTTTATTTTATTTTATTTGGGGAAAAATAAAAAAATAAATGCCTGGAGCTTGAAATTTAATCAAGATTTCTCTTATGCACAACCTAAGGTCAATGGGGTGTTGATGGAAGGAAAAAGAAAGCTACAAGCTCACATTGTGATTTGTGAATTTTGATTGACTGCATCAAACCAATGTTGTGTTGTGCTGTATGACAGCAAGTATCAAGAACCAATAGATCATCTACTTCAAGCTGCATGCCACCTAATATTTTATAAATAATGAATTCAGTCTGAAATTTGGGATACATCACTCAAGTACACTGCTAGCTCAACCCAAACTTAGTGGTTTTATTTATTTATTTATGAACCAAGTAAATTTTTTTTTTAGTGGAATCTCTGTAAAACTAAATGTATTACTTTATTTACTTATTCCTACATTTGAGGTTCTGTGTTCAGATCTCCCTTTTACTAATACCGTTGATAAAAAAAAGAAAAAAAAGTAGTACTTTACCTTTTAAATTGGAGTTACCAATTGTAAGTTTAGTATTAAACTGAAGTGTGTTGGTCCTCAGGGACCGGGGGTTACCTTGTTGCTTAGGACTTTCGGTTTTCCCTTAATCCCTGCAAAGTCTACTTTTCCTTTGTTTCTTCCAAAAGTTGTAGGGATAGAGGGAGTAGCCTTTTTTTTTTTTCTTTTTTCACTTTTAATATAAATGAAAGCAGTATGTGTAATGCCAATGGGTTCCCACCATAGTGGTGATGAATTCCCCCTCTCCTCCATGGCAGCCAGGATCAAACCCCAATGGAATTTCTTTCCTCCAATGTTAAAAAAAAAAAATACGTATAACCAAAGAAATCCTTCCCACAATCCAAAAATAATGATAAATTATTTTTAAAAAGCATTTATCATAATTTTCCTATTTCTTACTTGGTGGGCAAATGTCACTTTTCAAAACTTTAATAATATCATTTTCTAATTGTAATAATTAGATTTTGATTAGAAATTAGATTTTTAAGGACACAAAAATTGCCTGCCTCATGTGAGAGAGTGTTGTCTATTTCTCATGAGGTCCAAGAGCATAACAAGAATAGGGCATTTGACCGAAGAACCGTTGTGTTCTGTCATTCATCCATCCGTCCATCCGTCCATCCGTCGGGCCTTTTGAAGTTGGGAGTGTTTTTCTGTTTCTTAAATAATTCGAAAAGCTTGGACCCAAATTCATTAATTGCATTCACTCCTTTCGGCCTTTTAAATGACATAAAGACACAAACAAAATAAATAAAATATTAATATAATAAATAAATAAACAATTTAAAAAGGGCACCAAAAAAAAAGAGAGAGGATTGGATAGCACAAAAAAGCTCAGTCTACTAGCATCACCATGTGCTGGTTGTTCATGACTTCTGACTGTAAGTTTTGACCTTACTGTTCGTTAGCTGCAGCTTCTTTTCTTGTCTTCTTCTATGTGGCTTGGCTAAGCTGAGCTCATGGCTCTTCTACTTTCTTTGTTCCTTCCTCCTACTCTCAACCAAACAATTGTTAACTTCTAAAAAGAAAAACAATTAATTATAGGAAAATGTTATATAGTTTCTATTATTTTAATTAGCTATGGTCGACGGTTTTCACACTCTTATTTTATACGACCGTCACAATGGGAAAATGCATGTAATTTTGGTTTAGGAAGCAACATTAGAAGAAAAAGACTTGAGATGTATTATTTTTGTTAAAAATTTCTTCACATGAATATATAATATTAACTAATTACCTTGTAGGACAAGTTGACATTATAGTATATATTTTGGTGACAGGAAATGTTATTGTAGGTATATGAATGTATTGAAGAAAGGAATAAGTGAGCTGGTTGATGTTTGCTTGATTGAATCCAAAATAACTTGCTCAATAGTGAAGATGATGACCATTAGGTGCTAATTACTGGAATAAAGAAGAGCAACCATCTTTATAATATTGAGATTCTCGTAGTTCAAACAAGTGTGTAGAAGCTGAGTTAAGCTTGACGATATGGAATTATTAATGGACATGTCATCCATTCTATCAGAAAATCAGGTCTTTAATCTCCTAGAAAGAACAAGCGCGATACAATATAAATGTGATCGGAAAATACAAAAGTAAACCAATCATACAACACAAGAATAGTTGATGAAGTTCATTCAATTTGAGCAATGCCTCGGATTGCTAGAGATTCATTCTTCACAACTCAAAAAGAGTTATTTGATCTATCTTATGCAATGCCCTCTTGAAAATTGTGGTTAACAAGGTTATTAGGTAGAGCAATTAATGTCATAAGATATCATGATAAGCAAGAGCTCTTTGGAGTCTTTAAAGTCTTATAAAATATTGAAGTTAAACCTTTTCTTGTTAAGTAAGAGAATTGAATCTAGAATAATCTTTTCTTAATCTCATTATGTTGGATGGTTATGAGCTATGATGGCACATGGAAAGAGATTTGAGGTTTTAAGACCTAAAAGAGAAGAAGTGTGAGCACCAAACTCCACCTAGCATCTACCACTTATATTTCTCTTTTGGGCAAATTTATGCTCAAATGACAAGTGATGACTATTTTTTTTCCAAGGAAATTGATTTGAGCTTGAGGCCTGAAAGGGGAAAAATATGAGTCTCAAAGCCACAATAATTTAACACGTATATTACTTTCTCCTAGTTCATATTTGTATTGAGAGAGCTAGTGGGATCCAATTTAAAACCCTTTCATGATTTCATCCTTCATTGCTTCCTTTGTTGTGCCATTGAAAGTTGAATATATAGGAGATGGTGGTTGATTTGTCATTCTGGCGTCATAGATGGAAAAATAAATACATCCATTTTTAATTTTTTTTAACAAAGCAACGGGGTAAATGGAATTTGAATGCAAGATAGCGGACACACTATTTTGATTAATTGGTCTAAAAATATGTATAGATAAATAAATTCAAATATATATATTTGAGCCCGCCCACCTAAGCCCAAACCTAAAAGGCTCTTATAAGCCGCTAGCTAGCTAAAATATGATGAAAGACAGGAAACAGAAAATACCGTTGAGGCGTTGGACTCAAGTGCTTCAAGTCAAGGGAAGGAAAAAAAGCAACTCTTTCACTTCATTTTGTTTTATATCCTTAAATCAGCTACACCCGCACCTCTCTCTCTCTCTCTCTCTCTCTCTCTCTCTCTCTTTGAGCTGCAGTTAGCTAGGTAGCCACCCTTGGCATCCCATAAAACAAACCCGTTGGTCACAAGTTCTAGTAGAAAACTCTTAACATCTATATTATAGCATGCACCAAGCTTGCCATGGGCGTGGACATGTCTAACAATCCACCAACTTCTCGCACCAAGGACTTCTTTGCCTCCCCAGCCCTCTCCCTCAGCCTTGTACGTACCATTCATTCTTCTTCACAACCCTTTTCATTTCTTCTCATCCATTTCCTTTACATGTTTGTGTTAAATAACATTCTTTTTTGTTTTTTGTATTTGGGTTTTGAAGGCTGGGATTTTTCGTGATGCTGGACAAGCGGCGGCGGCTAGCAGGGAAGTGGAGGAAGGAGACGAGGGCAGCGGAGGCGCAGGCAGTGTCCGCCGGAGAGAAGACACGGCAGAAATTAGTAGTGAGAACTCGGGGCCCGCGAGGTCAAGATCAGAAGACGAATTCGATGGAGAAGGAGAGCATGATGAAGATGATGGTGATGGAGACAACAAGAATAAGAAGAAGAAGAGAAAGAAGTACCACAGGCACACCACTGAGCAAATCCGAGAAATGGAAGCGTAAATTCCCTATTCCCTCTCTTTTTCCTATTTTTCTATTTGTTACGTTTACAATACAAGCGATATTAAGAGAGTGAATCGAGCACAACACATAAGTGCAAAGTTAATCATATGAACTTCAAGTCCTTCTCTCTTTTCTTCAATTTAGCT